GTGTAAATAAAGTTTTAACGTTAACCATCACAGTGTAAATAAAGTTTAACGTTAACCATCACAGTGTAAATAAAGTTTAACGTTAACCATCACAGTGTAAATAAAGTTGTACTGACTCAGTAGAACATGTGTTTCTCGTCTCTGATCTCTGATCATGTTTCATTGTAAACAACCAATCAGAGGAGAGCTAGTAACGTTAGCAGCACCGCTAACAGCTAACCAACAGAGGTTCACTTCAGTTACACTATGATGCCTTCAGGCTCTGCTCAGTGAACATGAGTACTGGCTGAAGGTAAATTATAACGTTATCATGATGTGTTCACATGAATATAAAATAGATATTAGAGATGAATTATGATGTTTAACTTCCTAACACGAGCTCTAAACACATTATTATACTTCATTAAAAATAATGAGATTTGTTTTAATAAAAATACAATCTTTTATTTCATTATCATTTGAATTGTGTTTTAATGAAGAAAAAAAGAAAAATGTATATGTGTGTGTGTGTATGTGTGTGTGTGTGTATATATGTGTGTGTGTGTGTGTGTGTGTGTGTGTGTATATATATGTGTGTGTGTGTGTGTGTGTGTGTGTGTGTGTGTATGTATATATGTGTGTGTGTGTGTGTGTACGTGTGTGTGTGTGTGTGTGTGTATATATGTGTGTGTGTGTGTGTACGTGTGTGTGTGTGTATGTATGTGTATGTGTGTGTGAGTGTGTCCTCAGGATGTAGGTAGGACGGTAATCCCGTCCATGTCCAGCTCCACTGAGTGAACACTGAAGTCTCCCAGACCCTGAAACAAACCAGTGGACACCTTAGAAACCCAGTCAACATGTGTGTGTGTGTGTGTGTGTGTGTGTCTGTGTGTGTTACCGGTGTGTTGTTGAGGACCTGCAGCACCGCCTCCCGCTGTCGGGGCTCCCGGGTCAGCAGGTAGAGGAAGCCCCCCCCCCCGGCCCCGGCCAGGCTCTGACCCAGGACCAGCGGCCTCAGGGCCTCCATCATGGTCCTCACTGAGGCCGGCTCACAGCCCGGAGCCATCAGCTTCTTCTGCTGCCACGAGCGGTCCAGACACCCCCCCAGGCTGGACAGAGAACCTGACGGGGGGGGGGATTGGCACATGTTCAGGGTTGGACGAAATGCATTCTGGGAAGTTTTCTGCAACCAGTGAACAGGAAGTGACCATATCTGGACTGAGGAGGAGTGACGTAGAGACACCGTATACGTCTCTGGTAGAGACCTGTCAATCACCGTGTAGCCCCGCCCTAAAGCATCCCCTGCTTTATGGTCTGTGTGACTCTAAATGGACCATAATGTACTAAATGAACATCATGCTGTATTGAAGAAGACTTGAAACTAGAGATTGAGACCATAAACTCATGTTTACAATGTTTACTGAGGTAATAAATCAAGAGAGAAGTAGAGTCATTTTCTCATAGACTTCTATACAACCAGAGGAGTCGCCCCCTGGTGCACACTAGAGAGAATGCAGCTTTAACACATGACATATACATATACATATACATATATATATGTATATGTATATGTATATGTATATATGTAGACTCACCCTCTGAACAGGCTCTGACACATTCCTCTGAGTTCGCCACTAGCTGCTGGACGTTCTGGACCATCGTGGGCAGACGACTGTACCAACTACGAACCACATCCTGAAGACAAAACCACCTTCTTCATGATCATCATCATCATCATCATCATCATCATTATCACCATCATCATCATCATCAGACCTGCAGCAGGTTCCTAGCCAGCCTAGTTTTCCCGGTGTAGACCAGCAGGAGGTGGAGCTCCAGAGAGACCAGGAAGTCGTCTGGAGGAGTGAGACGTTCCACTTCTACCTGCAGCGGCAGAGATGCTCTGGAACGACCCACCTTGACTCCGCCCACCAGACCCCCCACCTGATCCTGCCAGCCTCCACCTGGAGGAGGAGGAGGAGGAGGAGATGAAGAAGATTGTATTGGTCTCCTCTCTGGTTCTGGAGTCCAGAGTGAACATGTAGCTGAAGACCTACCTGTGGTGAGGATCTGCTCCAGGTACAGGACTGCGTGGATGAGGGAGTCGGTGTCGTAGGTTTGACCGGTGCACCTGTAGACCGCAGCCAACAGCGCCCCCGCCAGGATGCTGCTGGTACCTGCAGGACGAGAGCTGGTCAACCTCGGACCTGCTGAGTCATCACTATCTTACTTTGTTATCGTCATCTATGGTGATTTCTTCTTCATTAAAACACACATTTCAAACAATAAGGAAATATAAGATTGTATTTTTATGGTTTAAAAATCTGATCATTATTATTAATGAAGTATAATAATGTTCTTAGAGCTCGTGTTAGAAGTTAAACATCATAATTCATCTCTAATATCTGTTTTATATTCATGTGAAAACATCTCCTTCAAACTACTGGATTTATTCAAGTTCATCACCAAAACTACATTTTACAGATGACATGTGAACACATCACGATAACGTTATAATGTACCTTCAGCCAGTACTCATGTTCACTGAGCAGAGCCTGAAGGCATCATAATGTACCTGAAGTGAACCTCCTTTGGTTAGCCGTTAGCGGTGCTGCTAACGTTACTAGCTCTCCTCTGATTGGTTGTTTGTGAAACAACTAATCAATGAAACATGATCAGAGACTAGAAACACATGTTCTACTGAATGTTGTTTCAGCTCTATTTAGTTTGACTACATGTGTAACGTTCCTGTAAAGTTCTAATAATGAAATATATTCTCATTATGTTATGTCTTGTGATGTTTGAGGTCACTGCAGGTGGTTCTGGTTCTCACCTAGTCCAGATCCAGTGGGCAGCACCGACCAGCTGTGGAGCTCCACCCCTCCCCCCCATCGCTGCATCAGCTGATCCCCCAGAGCATGCTGGGAAGAGAGAGACACCAGACCACTGCACACACACACCGCCTTCAGCAGGGCTCCTGTAACACACACACGAACACACACACACACATGAACACACACACACACACACACACACACTCTCTCTGAATAGTGCTGTCATGACTTCCTGTCCTACCAGGTGCGTGAGGCTGACAGTGGTCCCTCAGGTCGTCCAGGACGTCACACACCGTCTCCGTGGAAACGCCCCCCCGCCCCCCGGTGTGGCTGACCAGCAGGAGGCGGGGCTTCCTGATGCGACGGGCCCGAGCACCAATGGGATGCCTCCCGTCAACCTTCACGGACACGTTGGTCACAGAGCCGCCGTGCTCGAAGGCGACGGGCGGCGTGTCGCTCCAACCGCCTGAAACAATAACAGTTAATTATACATACACATACTGTATATACATATATATACATGTATATGTATATATGTGTATATATGTGGGAAATAGCATATATATATTTATATATACATACTACTTCCTACAACTTTATTAATGATCAATCCGTTGATCATTCCTTAAATTCATCATATAAAATCACAACATCATAGAGCACAAAGAGACTCTCAAATGTGGACATTAACTTGACAATAAACTGTGAATTATCATATTTTTGGCACTTTTGCTTGAAAAATTACTTCAACAAATAATCAATAATCAATATCATCGAGTAATTGTTTTTGTTTCTTCATTCTTTATTGAACATAAATTAATTCATTAACGACCTCCACACTGGGTTCTTAACCCCAATTAATCATATTTTAACTATTTTATATTGATAACCATGATTTTAATACTAGTACTAAGTACTAATACCACACTGTGAAAATACTCCACTACAAGTAACTGTTGTACTTGAATGATGACGTTATGATTAATTTAACACAACAATAGTTGTGGATTCATTTCCTTTTGATCGTGTAACTGATTAATTGACTAATAGCTCTAAACAACACATCTGAAAAGATAAAAGTTTGAAATAAATGAAATGAAAACACAAGATTATAAATATAATACAATATTAATATTGATTAATACTGATTATTTTCACCTGCCAGGTCCAGTCGGGCCGGACACTCCACTTCCTGCCACTCCTCAAGGGGCGGGACCTCACCCCGGCCAATGGAGATGAACCTCTGCGATGACATCACAGCCTGTCGTAGGAGCACCTGGCCGGCGCCCTCGTAGTGCCGCGCCGCCCGAACCAGCAGGTCCGGCCTGTTGTGTGTGGGAGGGGTCACATGTGAAACACAGGTCACCATGATGGTAATAACACAGGTGAGTACTCAGCTCACCTGCTCAGCCAATCAGCTCTCTGCGTAGCCAGGGCCTTGACCCCGCCCCTCAGGTCACCTTCCTCCAACAGGAAGTAGGCGGAGCTCCAGGCCTCGTTAGCGGCCGGCCCGCTCCTCAGGCCCCCCCTCCCCCCCGCCATGCACACCAACACGTCAGCGATGCAGGAGAGGCAGCGGGAGGCCACGCCCAGCTCCGCCCCTGACTCCGCCCCCTGCTTCCCGCTACCTGCTGCAACTGAAGAAAAAACAAATAAATACAAAATAAAAGTTATTATTGTTATTGTCTACATTTTTTATTATCTTTGACGGAAGGTCAACTATTTTCTGGATTAATCATTTAATTGTTTATTTCGTAAAGCCCTATCTTTTTATTATTGGTTTTATCTAATATAATAACAATAATAACAATAATAATAAATAATAAAAAAGAATAACAATATTTTTAATTACAAAAAAGTGCTGTAAACTGTATTATCATTACTATAACCATATTATTATTATTATTATTGTTATTATTATTATTGTTATTATTGTTGTTGTTATTATTGTTGTCACTCACTGCTGTCCAGTGTCTCCAGCAGCGCCCCCTGCTGGCCTCCCAGCACCGCGGCCCTGAAGCAAGGCAGCAGACAGACGTCGGTGCGACTCCTCAGAGCGTCCGTCACTCTCCTCCTCCCAGCCAGGAACAGTAACTCCTCCCTCCACTGTAGCTCCGCCTCCTGGCAGGTGAGCGACATCACCTCCTTCAGAGAGAGCCTCCACGCCTCCCTCCACCTCCTCAGACAGCCGACTCCTCCTAGCAGCCAGCCGACTCCTCCATCCAGACCAACAGCACCTCCTCGGGGGAAGAGGACCGGGAAGAGACGAGCCTCCAGGAGGGAGCGTCCTTCTCCTCTCACCCACAACTCCTCTGGCCTGAGAGGAGGAGGAGGGGGGAGGAGGAGGGGGAGAGAGGAGGAGGGGAGGGAAGGAGGAGAGTGGGAGAGGAGGAGGGGGAGAGGAGAGGAAAGGAAAAGAGGAGGAGAGATGAGGAAAGGGGGAGAGACAAGAAGAAACAGGACAGGGAAGTAAAGAGGGAGTAAAGAGAGGATGAGAGGAGAGGAAAACAGGAGGAGAGGACAAAATGAGAGGAGGAGGAGAGATGAGCAAAGGGGAGTAAAGAGGGGAGTAATGAGGGGAGGAGATAGATGAGATAGGAGGAGAGGAGAGGAGGAGGGGGAGGAGAGAGGAAACAGGACAGAGGAGTAAAAAGAGGAGGAGAGAGAAGAAAGAGGAGAGGAGAAAGATAAGAGAGTACGAGAGAGGAGTAGAGGAGAAGAGAGGAGGAAAGAGAGCAAAGGAGAAAGATGAGAGGAGAGGAGGAGGAGGTAGACGAGGAGAGGAGAGTTCTGGTTCATAGAGGAGAATGTGACGAATACAAAAACTATTTCAAACAGGAAGTGAGACACTCAGTAATGTTTTAAGATCCTACTGGATTCCTGTTCTGCTGAAGAAGAGACTCCATCTCTGGTTCAGGAAGGAGGCGCTGCTGTCATCAGAGGAGAGCTGAGGAGGAGGAGGACGAGGATGAAGAGGAGGATGAAGAGGAGGAGAGGGAGGAGGATGAAGAGGAAGATGAAGAGGAGGAGAAGGAGGAGGACAGAGGTGACGACATGATGTCAATAATTTTACGTCTTTTGATTTTGTGGGTTGTGAATTCATTTTAAATGTTTATGTCAGAATGATGTTTATTTTTAGTCAAGTAGTTTTAAACCAACGATGTTTTTATGAATAATAATCATAATCATAATGAGAGAAACCCATCAGAAGATGTTTCCTCTGTAGAGCAGCGTTCACTAAATATATTAAAGAACTCATTTAATCAAATCTGAAGAGTAGAAAATGAAAAGTACCCTTTACATGTTGTACTTTGTGTCTTCATCAAAGTTATTTCTGAAATATTTATAACATATGAATGTACAATATATGTGATTTAAAATGTAGAGCTGAACTATTTCATAAAAATAATAAATCAAAAGATGTGTGAATAATATATTCTCTTCCTTTTTATCTCTAAACTTTCTCTCTTACTTCTGTTTATAAATAAAGTTTGTTTAAAGCCTCTAAAATAAAATAAAATAAAGTTAAATGAATAAATGATGAAGTCAAACATGAGTTAACTATGAGAGTCAAAGTTCATTCTTATAACAGAAGCTTCATGAAGAAGCATGTGAAAGCTCCAGAGAGATGTGTTCAGGGACCCTTTGAGTGAAACCTTTTTTTTTCTGTTCGTACCTCCAGGTCGTCCTGCGCTCCCGTCACCGTGTAGACGCTCAGCTTCAGCCGTCCCACCTCTATCCGGTGTCCCTGGATGATGATGTCATCGGCCAGCTCCAGCCGCCCGACACACTGTGATGTCATCAGCTGGATACCCGACAGTAAACAACCCGACGGGACCTCCAGAGGACCCTGGTGGAGAGGTCACAACGGTCACAGGTCTGTAAACCAGGTGTACCCGTCTCTCTGTAAACCAGGTGTACCCGTCTCTCTGTAAACCAGGTGTACCTGTCTCTCTATGAACCAGGTGTACCTGTCTCTCTATGAACCAGGTGTACCTGTCTCTCTATGAACCAGGTGTACCTGTCTCTCTGTAAACCAGGTGTACCTGTCTCTCTGTAAACCAGGTGTACCTGTCTCTATGAACCAGGTGTACCTGTCTCTCTGTAAACCAGGTGTACCTGTCTCTCTGTAAACCAGGTGTACCTGTCTCTCTATGAACCAGGTGTACCTGTCTCTCTGTAAACCAGGTGTACCTGTCTCTCTGTAAACCAGGTGTACCTGTCTCTCTGTAAACCAGGTGTACCTGTCTCTCT